CAGACAGTCTCCGCGCTGTTCTCTGGTCACGCAAGCCTGAAGGCCTGGCTTCTGACGCAAGCTCAGCAAAAGCAGTGGTTGACTCGACAAAGGCTTTTGGGAAGTGCCGGGCCCAAGGCATTGGAGGCGGCTTTGGACCGGGAAACGGCAAGCTGATGGTAGAAGTCCTTGCCATCGGTCGCAGCACACAGCAAAGTCTGCCGGCGAGGGTTTATCTCCAGCATTCCAAGCATAGGACCGACAGGGATGAACAGGCTATGGCCGCAAAGTCTGGATTCAACCCAATTACGACCCCTTCTATTAATAACCTGCCTATCTTTATCAGGGCCCTTATAGCAGTTGAAGGCCTTGGCCAGCAAGAATGAGTCAGAGGCAGGCACATCATCAGCCGGTTCAAGGTGAAGCAGGCCGAGGCTATCCCAGAGGCGGGCGGCGGCCGTTTCGGAAAGGCTCTCCTTAGCGCAAACGGCAGAGGGGGCCCGATCCCACGCAGCAAAGTACGCGGCTCGTTGCGCGCCATACACAGGTCATCAGACAGGTAAGGGGCGAGAAACGTCCAAAGACCGGTAAGGCTCCAAGGCAGGCAGGGCATCGTTACGAGTTGCCACAGGGTGACCAGAAAAGTCGGCACACATGTCACTAGCCAGGCCGGGCGTTGAAGAAAGGAAGGCAGACAACTCAGAAAGGCGTGCAACCAATTGGGGACTGCGGCGGCCGGAGTCAGGAAGCAAGAAGCTCCCCACAGAGGCACCGAAAGCCTTCAAATGTCTGCTCACATGCGCAACGAGGCTTCGCTGTGCGGCAGTGGGCAACTGAGCAAGAGAGTCCAAGGGCGGAGGAACAAAGTTGGCACGAAGGAAATTGAGGCCCATGCAAACGATGTGAAGGTGTGAAGGAGACGCCTGTGCATGATGCGTCTCCTGGCCCTCGAACCAATCTCCAAAGAAAAGTGCTCAAAGACACCACGATAAACGACAGGCAGGGGGAAAAGTCTAGAACCACATCCCCTGGAAGGCTGAGCAGGTCGAGGAGACCTGGGCAAGTGCAAGGTGGACCAAAGAAAAGAGGCAAAGTGCGTAGCACAGCCCTCAACAGGCCGGCCCAGGTGGCAAAAGAAACTTCAGTAAAAAAGTCCAGAGGAGCACCCACCGATCGCTTGCATGAAAGTCCAGGCGGAGGGCGGGCGCAACGCTGATGGGGCTTTCGCCCCTTTTGGCAAAAAAAACTTCATTGCTTGGCAAGGCTGACGCATCAGAAGAAGGAGCCGGACCTGCGGCAGGCACGCTCTTCAGCGAGGGAGAGCACACGGAGAGGCAGGCAGGGCCAGCAGAGCCTTTGACACGGGGACCTCGGCCTTCAGTTTGCCGAGGACAGCGCGGGAGCCTTTTGGGCTTTGAAGGAGTCTCGCCCTGAGTCTCCCCCGCAGGCGCCTGATATGGAGCTTTGGGGGCAGAGCCTAGGCTTTCCAACCTCCGCGTTGTGATCAGGTCTATTTCCTTCAAGTACTGGAGCGTACATGTAGTCCAGGCAACCGGCGACAGTGCGGGGAAAAAGCCCTCGACCTCGGGTTCGAGCTGTAAGGCCTGGCATGGAAGAGTTGAGCCGGGGATCCTCCAAAAGGGTGAGGACCCAACCTTGCTGGTGGTTAGCTTTGTGCTTTTGTGCCTGGTCATGTTTTGTCCTCTCTCTTTTTTAAAATACGATTCCCTCGGAGGAATTGAATGGAACCTCTATCCACTGAATGGGTTGCTGTTAAAGGATTTT